AGCAGTACAAAAGTCTAGGAGAAAATCTACCAATGCCATCTACGATTCAAAGTGGAAATTATTCTCTGTTTGGTGTTTGGAAAGAGATACCAATCCCATCGAGGCATCTATTCCAATGATTGCAGATTTCTTTATTTATCTCAGAAACACTAAAAAGAGGTCTTTTTCTACTATCGAGGGCTACAGAACAGCTATAAACAATGTCAGGAAATCTACACAATCTAAAGATCTCTCAGAATCACAAGTGATACATGATATGTTGAGATCCTTTAAATTAGAAGATGCAATTCCAAAGTCTACCTTACCCAAATGGGACTTGGTTTTTGTACTTCATGAACTATTAAAGCCTCCATTTGAACCTATGAATTCGGCAGATATCAAATGGGTGACTTTAAAGACTGTATTTCTTCTACTGTTAGCCTCGGGCAAGAGACGTAGTGAGATACATGCCTTAGATGTTACAAGGATACAATGGAAAAATAACAATACAGAAGTTTTCCTCTATCCATTCATTGGTTTTCTGCCAAAGAGCTTGGAAGCAGCAGAGGGACAAGCCAGATTTCAACCTATACATCTGAAATCATTGGCAAGCCATGTGGGAAATGATCCAGATCGATGCTTATGCCCACTTAGAGCACTCAGATTTTATCTTGCTGCTACCAGAGTCTTCAGAGGTACCAGGAATAGGATCTTCATACCTTGGAAGAAAGGGTGTAATAGCAATTTACACTTAAATACTTTATCCAGCTGGATGAAACATCTGATTCTTCTAACCTACAATAATTCCACAGCTGAGAGTAGAAGAATTGGGAAAGTTAACGCACATGAAATAAGAGCGTTATCAGCCTCATATGCAGTACAGTCGAATGTTAGCCTAACAGAAATATTGAAAAGTTGCTCTTGGGCTCACAACAACACTTTTGTCGACTTTTATCTGCGTGATGTCACAGTCCTACAAGATGAAGCTAGAAAGCTAGGACCTGTGATGCTGGCTGGAACTGTGTGCGACCTGTAGCAGGTGCAGTAAGTACACAACAACTTTTTTCACCCCACCTATCCAATATGTTACATGCTATGACATATAATTAAGAGGGAAGTAAGTGATATAAACTGAAGATTTTTTTTATTAAATCAACCGTTTATGGAACTTACTTACCTCTTAATTACCAGAGACCCACCCACCTTCCCCGCTTGAGGGAAATTTTTTTATTTTATTTTTTTGTATCTTCGAGGTCTCTCGGTAATATGAAGTAGGTCGTAGCATGAAGCATGGATAGGCAGTGTATTGGACGAGTTCATTCACTAATCCGTTCATTCAATAGGGGTGTTAGACCTTTCGACTAGTCAATTTATTAAGGTAATGGCATATAATTAAGAGGTAAGTAAGTTCCATAAACGGTTGATTTAATAAAAAAAATCTTCAATTTCTAGACCCACATTTACTATTGAAAATGCTCATCATTCCTTGTCATTTTTCCAAAAATTCCCATAGTGCATACATCATGTACATAGAGGTGTGTGTTGGGGGGGTTGGGATGTGAATTTTATTTCAAGGGAAAATGTGATATTTGCCAAGGAAAATATACTGACTGACTGGTGATAGCTGAAGTGTCAATATGATATTTTCCAATATTTTTTTAAGGAAAAAATTAATATGTGATGAAAAGCTTTATGAATCTTGCAAATGGACACAGCATTTCTCAAAATAAATACACTTATTGGACTACTGTAGCAGACTAGCAGTGCTCGTCTTAATTAAACATATCACTGCACCAGATAAAACATTAGTCCGAGTCATTGAATAAAATGCGCCATTTGTGTACTATTCTAGTATTTATTAATAAGAGAAGTACCATATCTTAGGCTATAAACCCATGTTAGCTTACGGAGGGTGAATCACTATCTTTTACCTAAAATCTTCCATGGGGAATTAATATGAATATGATTTTCGGAATATTTCAACAAAATAGTGATTCAGACAAAATGTGTTTCTTAATTTGTTGGAGAATTGAATACTTTATAAGCAGAATAAAAAGGGACAAATCATCAGATTTTGATTTTTCAAGTGCTGTGGTGTCTGAGATATTGCCATCAAGGTATGACACCTTTCATCGAAAACTTTTGGGTTTATTTTGAAAAAAAACTATTTAGCTATCCACAGATCCAGTGGTTCAAGAATTTTTCAGATTAAAGTAACTAGCTTTATAAAAGCAAATGGCAAACAATTTTCAGAAACCGATTATTTGGAAAGATTACACAAAATGAAACCACAGTCTTAAAAATATCAGAGATGTTTCACATACAGTAAAACCATCTGATAATGAATCACAATGAACAACCATGTAACATTCATTAATGATTGAGTGACTGTGCTGTGAAAATAAATTGTATAATTTGGTATGTATTGAATAAACATCTACAAGTTATGACATCAACATAATCAGATATGGGAAGGCATCAGATGATTGGTCTGACCAATTTCAAATTTCCCGGGAAAAGTTTGTTGTTGGTAACGACATAATTTATGCTCCCAGTGAACAAACTTGACCTACATTACTTCGGTATGATTCAAACAAAGTCAGCACTATCAATGGTATACTCTACCTTATAATAGATAAATACAGAAGTTCAAAAACTGTTCGTCATTTTGGTTTCACAACTGCGTCGATACATTCCGTTCAGTGTAAAATAGTATCCTAAAGCCCAAATCCCGGGAATCCCGACTCACTGTTTACACCAACAATCAATCAGATGGTATTATTACACCAAAAGTAGTGCGAAAAAGTTTTGATGACATTTAAAGACACTGTTCCTCTTTCACGTGCATTATCTCATGGAAATGGGCATACCAGTGTTGCCAGTGCAAAGATCTTTGTTCCATGGTAAAGGAAAGCTATCAAACATTGTCTGAAGAGCAGATCTAGCTCCGTAATTTTACTTTTAACATGGCGACCTTGACAACATATAGCCATTTGGGCGATAATAGGTGATTCTAAAGTGAAAATGAGTGCTTTTTTCGTAGTTTTACTTTGACCAAGGCTTGCAAAAAATTTAAGTGATAAACCTTCCAACAATTTTTGATATTTTTGTTGTCTCGAAGTGTTCTAGACGATATCAAAGTGGAAAAAAATTTGTATGTCTCGAAATATTTTGAAAATTAGTGCCATTATGGCGGGTCTGGGTGTTTTTTGCTTTCATTTTTTACCCATTTCCACGGTTGCCATGGTAACTCATACCAGCCAACCTACCGTATTTTTACGGGAATCAACCAAAAAATATTCGTTTTTCAGTTAAAAAATCTAAATTCCATAAAAAATTACCGTTTTTTCCTGTAAAAACGACCGTAAAAAATCTGCTGTAACTTTACCAAAATCTACCGTAAAATATTTTATTATCATTCGATTTTTTCTATAAGAACGGCCGTAAAATATACCGTAAATATTTGAAAATCTACCATATTTCTGCTGGAAATAACAGTATTCTTGTTCAAACTACCATAAGATCTCCTATAATTATTATGAAATTCTGAAAAATTGAATTCTTCTCGTATTGCCCTTGTAATATTCCATCACCAGCCCAAAAAATAGATGCCGGCAGGTCTTTGACGGTGGTTATTGCGTACTTAGTAAGTAACTAAGTAAGCTGACGTGTAATCAGTCAACACACTGGGGAATATTGTGATGCAAAAACAGTGTTCAACTACCACAGGAGGAGTAATCATGATTAATTTGTAAATTGCTACATTGTAGCAATGGCATGAGTATGATGTCACAATACACTGGGGCCTAACTGGCGTAAAGGGGGAGAAAAGGGCCAATTTTGCACATGGGGACCACATTTGACTAGACTCAAAATATTTGCATTTAGTAACCTACATTTAAGTACATTCTGTGTAATACTTGAAATGCATTGCTATAATGATTTACAAAATGAAATAATCTCGGGGAATTTGCTTCCAAAACTTTTGAATGAGATCCCTGAAGTTGATGACCCAATTTTAGGTCATTTTGGCCCGTTTTTAGAGACTCAGCCTTCACCTATTTCCCCAAATATGGCTAGATTTTGTAGAAAACGTGTTAAAAGTTTGAAATGCAGCTGTTTTGAGCCTGAAATAACTCAATTGTTTGAAAAAATGCTGAATGAGGAAAAATTATGATAGTAAAATTTTCCCATTTTTTGGATATTAAGGTGTTATTACGGTAAATACCACTTCCGGGTAGGACGTGTTTTTAATACTTTAAAAACGAAGCCATGCCAACTTCAATGGTGTCACTGTGTATAGTAGGTTTAAGTATATGCATTGTGGCCATTTGAGGTATGTATGTAAAGCTGAGGCCAAGTACTTTCTAAATGTGCCATTTTTAGAATTAAATCGCAAGAATATAGTCCCGTAAACTGGAACTACTTTATTCGTTAATTTTCATCGGTGAAGCAGGGATTTTACCTAAAAATGAGTCCCTATGTTGGCGTAGTGATATTTAAAAATCGAGACGCAAACCCTATCTTAAATATAGTGTAAAGATGAAGGTTATGGATATAGTCATTGTATGGGCCAGTTCGTTCGAAAATGGCGATATGTAGCCCAGAACTTGAATTTTGTGATTTTTTTCAATATTTTTCAATGACTTACCGTAGTGACACCTCCATTTTTAAAACTCCCACTGTTTACAACAACAACCAATCAGATAGGTTTAATTTTTTACATCGGGCTGTGCATGCGCCATTGGAGGAAGTGGACGGTTCGAGTGTGAATTTGGACCAACTTTTGCAAGTTTTACCAGGAAATCACCTTTCATTTGGTATGTTAGTAACGTTTGTTATCGTATTGGGTATGTAAGAATCATATACATGTCGAATTATTAGCATAAATGTCACAGTTTGAACGATAAATGGAAATATAACACTTCCGGAAAATATTGTCACAAATGCCTTGTGGACTTTCCTCTATTTATTAGAGATCTATTCACTTTTAGAATATACCATTGATAGTGCTGACTGTGGATTCAAAGCTGTTCATGTAAATCGCTCGATCTCTATTGATTGTCGAATAAGAATGTAAACAAATCAACCTGCATTGCAACACACAATACAATCACGGCATCTATCGGGTGAAGTATTTGCAGCTTATTAGCAGCGCCATTACTCGGCAAAAACACGAAATGAATAACAATCAAGTTTCGCTGAAGTGATTTGAACGGCAGAACGACGGGGTCATCACGCCCTAATAGCGCTGTACTCTACCACTCCCTGGGGAACATATCTAGCGAGGAAGAGCCCACAATTGCGCTACCAGCAGTTGTAGACCCGGAGCGGGATATGTCCAACGTTACCAACATAACTGTGGGAGGGGTCCCAGACTCCTCTGAAGTTGATGGACCCACCCAAACAAACGAAAATGGGAAACAGAAACCGAACATAGATTTCTACGATCCCAACAATCAAGAGCATGATGGGATGGAAATGTCTCCAATGGGAGGACTTGATCGACAAGGAACTCTCATCGACCCGAAAGAAAGTATGCGAAGAGCAGAAAGCGTTGAAACGTTGAATCTTACCCTCCATCAGGTAGGCAAACTGAAGATTATATTTATTTGAACTAATTCTGTCGCATTAACTTTTGTGAAAGTTACTGATTTTAGACCACTTCAGTTTATCAGAGAATATTGCCCAATTTTAGATTAGGTTTTGTCTAGAATATGCGATAGTGCCCTTGAGATCTTGGGAGTGTATGTCACCTTTATTAGTATGTCACCACCTCAAGTGGTGACATATTGTTAAGTCTCCAATTTTTGGGGATAGTGTTCGGTGGTTGATGTTTGGCAGTTAGCATCTGTAATGGCAGGGGGTGACATTTTGCATGTTATACCCTTAATTGTTTTGCTTATCAGGCTCAGATATCAAGTTTATTAGAATACCTTGGGTAATCTGGGTACTAACCACACCCTTTCAAATTAGTTTTTACAAAAGGCCTCATGTAATCAATTTAAATCTAAATAATTTTCTTGATTGTTAATAGAAACAATAATTACTAAAACTGCAGTACAACCTGAATACATTTATATATATACACTGTATTATAATATTTAGCCACTTTGGATAAATAAAAGAACCAATATAAATACATGTACCTATATATTGACCTTTACCTTCTTACATATTGTGACCATAAATAAAAATTCTGTCTGAAAACATTATTCCTCTGACTATTTCATTTAGTATTACATTGCCAGATACACATTGAACTGATTTAAGTTTTTCTGACAATTGCTACCCTGCGCGTAGAGTCGTCATAAACTACCCTCTGCCTAATATAGACTATATTACAGTTTAGCAGCCCTGCCTCAAAGATTGGTGCCTGTGACAGCCAGGTTATAAATCATTGCAAATCTACCACACTGACCCTTCCTCAACCAATCAGCGAAGTGGAAGGAACGCATGCTAAATACGTGCTCATTAATTATGCGGTGATGCCATAGGAAATGACCATATAGAAAGTCGTCTGTATTTCGATGAAAAATTCTGATTGGCTCGGTGAGATCAGAGATTTATTGTTAACTGAAAGAGTGAAGACGAAGCTCTCTTTTAAGAAGTGAAGTCGAACGAATGCAAAGGGTAGACAATTGCCTAAACCAATTCACAGACAAAAATTCTGTAACAGAGCAGCTGAAAATGATCATTTGATTGATGTATCATGAAGTTGCTCTTTTTATTATCACGAAACACTATAGTAGAGAATAATAGCAGTTCTAGATAATTTTATGGAGACTTTTATATTGTACCTAGTAAGAATTTGTAAAAACGAATATACTGGGATATCTTCCCCAAGTTTGGGTATTTTCAGTCAAATCATGCAAGCGAGAATAAATGGTCATATTTGCAATAAATTCTTGACATCCAAGATTTTGAATAAAGTATAAAAATGAGTCATTCCCAATTGTTTATTTCCCTTATACTTCCTTGTACATCAAAATGCTATATGCAGGTACATGTATTTTATTTAAAACCTCATCCCAAAACTAGTGTGATTTTTGTTGTATATCTTTAGCTATACTCTACCCAAAAACAACAGTTATAAAATGGTTTTTAAAGTGACAATTAAAGCTGAATGAAAATACAAACTATCTCATATAATATTTGTATCATAGTGCTGAAATGATTGAGCTATACGTATTTATATTAATATTGTATATTTTGATAAATTATGCAAAATAGTTTAGATAACTGTTTCTACTATTACCCTTAAAGTGGCAAAGAGCAATTATTTCATTTATTTTAAAATTTTTATATGATTCTACTGAAGATTGATAATACATATAAATCTGTTTGCCAAATATTTACTTGGTAGTTCTGGGAAGGCAAGGCAAACTTTCTAAGTATTAGATGCCAGCATGGCAAGAGTTTTTTCAAAAGGACAAACATATAATGAAATCATCTCTTAATTTAAGAGACTTTTTCTCAAATCAAGCTGGTATATTATTATAAGGAACTTCACAAATATCTATCACTTACTTCTTTGTACAACCCTTTACTGAATTTCTTTTGTTTATATTACATACTTGGCCCTGAACAGACATATGCTTGATCAAACTTAAACATGAGACAAGTGACAGGCAATCTTAAAACAACATGAAGAACAAGATTTTATCTGAATTTTATTTTCATTTTATTTATTAAAGATATTTATTTTGTTTTTATGTCTGCTGATTAAAACAAATACATACCATTGTTTTTAACTAATTTCTTAATAAAATATAGCATGCCTCTCCATATTGACTTCTAATAGAAAGCCCGGGGTCATACTGGACTTGAGGAGGTTATAAGAAGGCAGATTCAACAAGAAAGTGATAACTGCCCAAAATTATAATTATCATCAAAATGATGTCACAAGAATCAAATACTAAATAAATATATTGACAATTTCAATAGGAACATACATTCACATGATTTCTTTCTAGTGTTTACCCCTGGGACTTTCCAAAGAATAGGTCACTTATATTTTGTTGAACATATTCAGATATCAGTGGTGGATCCAGAAGCTAACAAGAGGGGGGGCAAATTTTGAGTCAGAAAAAAATTTGAAAATTTAAGGCCCATTTTGCCTAAACTGTGCCAAAAAGACCCATTTTTTGAGGCCTTAAAAATCTTTTCTGGGCCCTCAAAAAGGGGAGGGGGTTGGACTCCATTGGCCCCCTCTGGATGCGCCAGTGGATATTGATCAAAATTGTATGTGTTTATCTATTAATGCTTGTAATTTGGACCATAGCAAAATCTTCATCCAAAGAAAAATTGGAAAAGCTCAGTGGACCATGATTACAATTAATCCCTATTCAGAGTCTATTTCCCTTATTGAGAAAGAAGAGACTGAGAGATTTAGGAATTTGAGAAAATGTTAGGACAGATGTCATTGGAAGCAGAGGGTTGTTTTAATTTACCTTATATTTTAGCCTATCCTTCAACTTCCTCCCTTTTAAATACATTTGGATATATTTTAGATATCCAAATTTGCCATTTTAGCACATGGTAAAAATAGGTCAAATTTTTATCTAGGTCACGGATAAGTTGAAACCAAATATAATTTCACCACGATTAATAGTTTATCCCACTCATTAAACAACCTAAACGAAGACAATAGATAATAATTTCTTTTTTCTTGTAGTGTGCCAGAGATGGCAACCTTGACAACATGAAGCGTTATCTCCAAGGCATGACTGGGAACATCAAGCGGAAAATCAATGCCGTTGATGAGGACAAACTAAGTGCCCTTCACTACGCTGCACGATACAATCATGTCGACATTGTGAAACTGCTCATCGACAAAGGCGCAGGTGAGATGTTCAATTCTAGCTTGTACTCCAAAATTGATTCTTGGTTCAAGATATTGTGAACCTTCTCCCTCTTTTATATATTCTCTTTCCCAATGGAATATAGAAGAAAACATATATGGAGGGATGTAGTTGACGAATGATTTTTTTAAATTATGAAAAAATAGCCCCCTTCTCTTCTGCTCCATAAACCCATCTCTTGTCACAAAAATTGGGCCATCCAGGTATGTTTAAAAATACAAAGTCTTAATACAAAAATGAATCAACTGTAGTTAAACATCTCTTGTTGACTCTCATGGGTATGTTAACACGTAAGCCTGATTGGGCAACAAAATCATCAGACCAAAATAGAGTATTTACAATTGTACTTAAATATAGAGAGGCATTCAACCACTCACATGCTTTATATCACTATTCTGTATATCTGTACTATGAATTGAATCTGGCATGGCAATCCAATCTATTGTTTAGTTAACCCATGTTCTGTGATCCATCTGACATTAACTAGGCATTTTCTAATAGTGCATATAAATCTTTAATGAAAAAATCTAATGTCAAAATAGGTTCCATTATTGTTAAAATCCTCAACTGTACAGTGGATCTCCATTACTTAAACATGAGGTGATAGTTTGGCCTCCCCTCTATTGCTTTCGTTGATCAAAGATCTTTTTAAAAGACCGTACCCTAAACCCTGGTATCAAATGTTCTATACATCTTATTATCTGTTGTTGGCACCTTAGAACACCCTTCAAGACCAGGCTTCACTGCTATATGAAAGCAGCTTATGGAAAGAAGTAAAATACCCTTGGACCAAGGACACCCATGACTGTAATTTTAAGATTAGCATTACTCTAGATAAATAGAAATTCCCAATCGATAACTGGCCATAATTCATTGTTATTAAACAAACCAACGAGTACCCAAGATATATTGATTTAGTGACTCTGCCTTATTGGTTGACATACCTAATGATCCTTAATTGGAATTATGGGAATTGACCTCTTGTGTGATTATTAATCAAACTCAACTGTGTATAACTTCTTGAAGTGTGATGTTCTAACCCAGAATGGTTGATATCTTAATCCTTTAGTGAAAATAATTTAGCCTTATTCTATAGGAATCAATATAAATCCATTCATCTTCCTGTATCACTAGCAACATCTCACACTGGGAATAAGTGAGATAAGATTGTTCATTCTTTTATTTTGATAGGGTTGCCACAACAATTTCCAGGCTTAAATGTAGAATTCCCTGCACAAATGAGTTGTAGCAACAATTATGATTATTTAACAGATGGAAGTTATTTAAATGTCTTTTATTCTTTTTTATTCATCCCTTGCTTTTATGTCATTTCATCTTTTCAGTTTGTGGGCAAATCTCAACTTTTCAAAGCTTCAGTCACTCAAATTCATTTACATCTAAAATTCCTAACTATTTAGACATCTGTCTTTTCCCTCTTGGCAATATAATACAATCCTATTACACAATGATAAAAATCCAAAGAGATACTACCGTTTGCATTCTTTCAAATCCACTTCTGAGCTTACATTTAGCATGTATTCCTTCCAGTTAGCTGATTGGTTGAGAAAAGGTCAGTGTGGTAGGTTTGAAATGATTTATGACCCGAGCTATCACGGGCATGGGTCGTGGGGGCGGGGCCAACTAAACTGTAATTTAGTCTATACTAGGCAGAGGGTAGTTTATAACTAGACTCTGCGGACAGGGTAAAGAGATAGGTATATTGCCAATAAAGTGCAATTCCCTACTGTGCTATTGCAACAACAGGGGTGAATCAAAGGATTACGAAACTGCTATATATATTACCCTTTGCAAAATGTTCTTTCCTCTTTAAAGTCAAACTGCACTTAGTAAAATCCACAAAAAGTCAAAGGGTATTGCTAAGTTTGAATAAATGCGAAGGAAAATGTGTAAACTTTTATATGTTGGAATTTTTGTATGGATTAATCATTATCATATTTGTGAGCCTATCAGAGTTGGTACTTCCATACGAAATGACATTTCCAATATAATTGATGTTAATATTACACCGAGGACCTGTCACATAGAGGATTACATTTATTTGCCATTATTGCTTCATCCTATTAGAAAATGATGCAAAGACATGGGTGTGGGCCTGACTCAAAATTTGCCATTATCTATTCATCAAGGTAAAAATGATGCTAAAACATGGGTGTGGAGTGCCTCCTACTTGCACCAGATATACTATGAAAGATAATAGATATTGATAGATATATTTATAAGTGAAAATAATTACGCCACACCATTAAATGTTCAGGTGCAATAGTCATACTATATTATATAAACTCCAGATATTCCAGACTAGCGCTTTTCCTTTCTATATATCCAGTCAGATGTTACGATTCTAGAAATAACTATTGGCATAGCTTTTATTCATGCTGGTTCACTTCTGGGAGCTAATTCTGGTTCCAATTTAACCTTACACAAAAATTGCACAATTTTCTCTCATTGGCTCAGCTTATTGAAATGTCAAGAGAATATATGAGGATAACTTTTGAACTTTTATATGTGTTCTCAATACAGTACATGTGTGGCAATTTTAATTAGAATTTTAATATTTCTTTATACCTTTCATTTAAGAACTTCTTATTCGTTTGATTAGATAGTTTGTTGACTAGGCAGCAATGTAAGTTCCAGGGTACCAATACATTAGAGTTGTTAGAATGTCAGGGGTTATTTCAAGCTCATTCTATGTTGTGCCTTAGTGTGTTTTTTATGTCACTACCACAAGTAGGAAGTGGTGACATATGTTAGTCTCCAACATTTTTGTGGACTGTGTTCAACATTTGGCATTTGGTGTTCAGTGTCTGTAACAAATGGCAGGTGGTGAAATTTTGCATGTTAATGCCTTGTTCTAAAATGACAGAAATAATAAACAAAATGGCCACCCATCAGCTGTAGAGCCTGATGCCATACTTGCACATATTTAAAGTAAATCCATGAAGCAGTTCTCTTGAACATCCATAACATTGATCAATGTTCAAAATGACTATTACAATTTGCTTGTGTTAGAACACATATGATATAACAGATATTATCAAAAGCTAATATGTAAAATTGTACATGGCTACTAAGGTAGCTTCTCCTATTTCAGTAATTAGTCTCTCTTGGATAACAATTGCTATTAGCATGAGGAACCTCTTGTAATGAACCTTTCATGAATGATTAATGCTGTGAAAATATATAACTCTTAATGAGTGTTTCTATAGAACACCACTTTAATCAGCTACTCTCTAATAAACATTTCTTTATTGAAGAATTATTTAATGAACACTTTACTCAGGTGAACACTTCTTGAATATATATCTCTAGAAACACATTTTTAGGAATACCTCTATGATGTTCCTAGGATTTTTCTATTCTGGGTGAAAAGCTTTAATTTTACCTGATTTGGTCAAAATTGCCAATGTTTTTGTGCCAATCATTTTGACAGGGTCCAAACAGATTTTCATCATCTTTATTGGAAACACCTATCTTGTGAACACTTATATATCAGGGGGCCATTTACAGAACTTTTGTAAGTTAAGAATTCGTAAAGTCCATTGTTCTCCTACTGTGACGTTATTATATCCATGGTTACAAAAATTCGCAATTTTATGAAGTTTCTGTTAATGACCCCCCCCCCCCTCTCCCCCCTGGTATATCAGTATAACTCTTGTAATCACCCTATTTTTAAACACCTGTCTTGAGAAAACCTCATCAAGAGATGAAAATACTTGATAAAATCAGGAATTATGTAAATAAGTTTTTGGTCACCCCTCTATCTATGTTCTTGACTCAGTGGTAGAGAGGATGTGGAAAGCATTGCTTTGATGGTACCTGTAACCTTCAACTTAAAAAATCAAAATCCTTCATAGTGATGCCTGGGCCTCTAGGAAGACCAGTTTTGTACTGATAGAGCTACACAGAATAAATATAGTTTTCAAATCGAATCAAATCAAATTAAAACTGACATACTAACCAATGCTTGACAAAATGTCATTGAATTTTAATATTCTTACATTTATGTTTCAGACATCAACATGAAGGGGGATGATGATGCAAGACCACTACATTATGCAGCCAGGTACAAGCCACAGAGACTTCATGCTGCAGCTAGCAGCGCAACAACACCTGATGATGTATGTAATCAAGCTCTTACTAACTGTTCAAGGCATACATTTGAACAATCCATTGAAATGATCATGCATTAGCATTTTCACCAGTTTGATTATTTGGTACAAAGATCATAGGTCCATGCTTTGAATTACTCTACATTATTGGTTCGATCCATTGAAAAATTGATCAATATTTAGGAAATAAGTTGTTTGAAAATTTGGCCAAGTGATCTTTGGTAATATACGGTTTGTCAAGCAAATCTGAACATTCATATTCTAATATAGACTGTACATTAAGTCTATTTAGGAATAACCAAATTCACTACTTCTTATAATTGTTGATTATTCATTACATCTCATCCTATTTTTTCATATACAATTATACATCAATTTCCTTTCATACTTCATGATTGTACTTTCATCTTACTTTGATATAGATGTTGTGTTTTAAAAAAACAGTAGATAGATCGCTGTTTTCAATGTTTAGCAAAACTTCACTTTTAGGAAACAGATGCATCAACTGTCGTATCTGCATCAGATGTACATGGGGTAAGTTAGTGTGCTTGCTTGGACGGAGCCTGGGTTGAACTAACGTGATGAATTCACACTGCATGATTACCACTACTAACACTGTTCTTTGTTCTCCTGCCAATACCTCAAATGTATCATGATGATTTGCTCCTGTTGCCCTAATAACTATGTCATCATTAGACTCGATGGATTTTTCAAAAAATAGTTTTTTGTTTGGGTTGGGAAAAATTCCTTTGTGGAAGTTATATTCTGAAAAGGAGTTTTCTAGAAAGATATGGGTCCAACAAAGGGACTAAGTCAATATTTTAATGTTTGCCAAAACATAATTCATTAAATTTTAGAGAAACTCCTTCCCTCTTCCCCAAAAACTGTATAAGAACATTTATTGAATTTTCCCTATTAAAAGTCATTTCCTTTTAAAAAACAATTTGTGCTAATTTTTAACTGCTCCCAATGATTAATTATCTTTACCTGTATTTGAGTAAACATCGATATACGGTATTGACTTTATCCCTTTATTATCCGAATAAAGGTCTGTGGTCTGCTGTCTTTATGATTCATTTTTAATGATGTAATTGAGAGTATGGAAAAAGCATGTATTTTCCTTGGTATGACCACACATAACCCACACATGCTTTCCAATTTGATTTTTTGAAATAAAAAACAAAAAAATCCTCTAATTTTCATTAACATGAATCTCAGGACTTTTTTTTCAACCACATATATTGGAACCCTAAGGAAATGTACTAAAAATTCTCTTTTAAAAGGTTTTGTAACAAAGTTTCACCACGGTGACTTAATTCTTCAGGTGATGGATTTGCTCTGTATTAATTTGCATGTCTCTTGGAATCTTTTATTTCAGGACATATTTTTGAAGTGTAGTGTAGTGTTACTCAAATGAGGGTGTTACATCCATGTAAGGAAGCCATGTAAAAAGATTGACATTGGATCTGAATATTACTAGTTTTTGGTAGAGGCCAGAAATAATTTTCTCTGGCAGAAATCCATGTTTTGAAATATAATGTAAGATCTGACATCAAACTTTTGATGGTTGTCCTTATGATGTTACATCCATATAAGGATCAGTGTCATGGTGGTCAAAAAGTAATTGTAGAATTTTTTTAATATACTTTTTAGAGGGGGACCCTTCCCAAGATTGTACAGGAAAATTGGCTCCCTTAAAGGCCCCATGTAAAGTTTGAAATTCTGAGCCTTGTTTTAGAAAATCTGGACGAGTGTTTGAATCATGTTTTCCCAAAGGAAGCATATTTTTTCAAAATTGATTCAAAACAATTTTTGGTTTGCAGTCAAAATAGTTGTAGCTATAATTTGTCTAAAATTTCCTGGACATTTGGGGAGGTTGAAACCTCAAATTAGTATTTGACCATCATGACAGAAAACTTATGATTGTATATACCAGTTATGATTTTAATATGTATATATTATTATCTATATAAATACTCTTCGGGTATTTCTTAACAGACCATACCAAGCCTGTCCGAAGGGGGGGGGGGGGGGGGGGGGGGCATTTCCAGAAACCTTTTTATTCGAGATTTTTGTATTTATGATGCAAATAATAGCTCTCAGATGTGCTCAGAAGATACCAGAGAGGGTCTAGATTTCATAAATGTTCATGGCCCCCAGACCCCCTAGCTTGCAGTGGTCCACGTCGGTGTGCGTCGCATGTGGCTGGTGTGTCAGCGGCACAATCCATCCACACGCAAAAGTCACCCCTCCTATTGTGTTATCCTTCGGATGGGCTTGCATAATGATTTCTTTATTCTATGAATTGACATACTTCTTTATAATCTGTATATTCAAAGAACTATTTCTTTTTCTCTGATAAAATATCTTCTAATGTTAATGATATCACTGCATGCACATAATTGCATAATTGTTTGATGAAATATACATTCTTCCTAATTTTCAATAATTCAGTAGTCTAAAGCACACAGCTCAGAAAAATGCTCTTGGTCAATGGGATCACTCCAGACATTTATTAGTGTTTTCTTGGAGCTATGTGCGAGACTGTAGGCTTTCACAGCAACTAATCAGCAAAATTGTGACATTCTCTAAAATTGTTTAGGGTGTGTCATGAGTTTGTTGACCAATGAATGGCTGAATTTAATAAACTGCTAAATGCTGGGTATCTGTCACTGTGGTCGTGTTGGACATTTTAAAGTTTAAAATATTCTCGAGAAATAAAATAGAAACTGGCTCTCTAATAAGTGTTTATTTTAGAAAAATCAAAGATGTCTAGTCTCGCATCAAGTCTCTCCAAGTTTCCACCATCTATGTTCATACTCAGATTTTGGGTATTATGTGTGGTTGTGGGGGAGGGTTGAGGTACGGAGGCTTAGTTGCAAGAAAGATCTTGAAATAACACTTATATCTCAATATTTGAGATAAAAAACAAGAAATAGCATGGCCATAGTGACAGTTTTGGTATGTTAACTATTTCACAACAGCTTCTGTTTCTAACATCTTATGGTGGTGTTCTTGTATCTTGCATAGGAGGGCGGACCAAGGGATACTCCTGAAAACATTGACATCGTAAATATACTTTAATATATTTTATTTAAATATATTATTCAGGATGTCAGAAAGTACTGTCCCATCAAACAAAAGATGGTCAATACATGTATAAGAAGACTTATGTGTGATATACCATTGAAAAGAACTTTAAAGTCATATTACATTGAGGCTCACATGGCCTTTGGAATCGTTCAAAATGGTACCGAATAACTTTACACTTAATAAATGAATTACACTTGGTATTTATTTCCTTTTAATGAATTCACCCTAACAACATTGTCAATGACAGTCAAATTTCACAAATTATGTCATTATTCATAGAATCTTTGAGAGACAGGCTGAGAGGGACAGTGCATTTTGACTCCTGCCGCAAGCATTTTAAAATTGAGAAATTTTTATATAACAATGTCTAATGAGTATCTATCTACATTGATAACATTGGTTTATGGCTTAGCTGACATGGCATGGCATAAGAAGCATTGATGAATAATATTATATCAAGTTTAAAAACATTTAGTTCATCAATTCAGTTATATCAAATCAGTATGTAATATTAGTACTTGAAAATAAGAATCGATGTACATGTTTGTTATTTTGAATATATGATACATTTTAAATAAAGAATAAATGTCTTCGGATTTATTTATTTTGTAATTTCTCTTTTGATTTCCAGAAGTCTTATAATTCATATGTCTTTTAGGATGTGATGGGTTTGAACATTTCAAACTCTGTAATTCTGCATTTGTTATCACGAAATGCAGATGTGAATGCTCGTGATGCATATGGGTCTACACCTCTGCATTACGCAGCCACTCGTGGCAATGAAGTTGCTGTAGCTGAATTGTTAACATCAAAAACCATATTAATCGAGGTTTGTAACATTTTGTACATTTTACAATTTATATATATTCATATATGTAATCTTGTGAATTTTTGAAAACAGGGACTTGAATAAAAATTAAGATTTGCTTCCCGACTGAGTTGGTTCTTTCAAGTTTTGGTTATTCCCTGTAGGCTGTCGATCTTCAACAAATGACTGCACTGCATCAAGCTGCCACTCACGATGAGAAAGAAGTTGCGAGAATGTTGATTGAGCATGGTGCAAACCTCCGTTGTGCAGATGAGGATGGTGCCACCCCGCTACATTATGCCTGTTCAGAGGGTAATGAAGAAGTTGTCCAGATGTTATTTGATGCAGGCGAGAAGCTGGATGGCTGGGTGACCATATCTCAGGTACTGTTTGGTAGTGTTTATTAGCTAATGAACTTATAGAAAGATTTAGAATCTTTTCAAACCATTTTTGAAATTTGTCAATTTTAAGTTCACTTTATGTCTGAAATCTCTTTAAAATTTACCCATGGAAGGCTAGCATATTTCTTTATGGTGTTTTACAAAATGCAAAAGCAATATGTTATTCTCTTGTTAAACACATGTTAATATGCTATTCTCTTGTTAAACACATGTTAATATGCTGTTCTCTTGTTAAAGTTAAACACATGTTAATATGCTATTCTCTTGTTAAGCACATATTAATATGCTATTCTCTTATTAAGCACATGTTAATGTGTTATTCTCTTGTCAAACAAATGTTAATATGCCATTCTCTTGTTAAACAAATGTTAATATGCTATTCTCTTGTTTAACATGTGTTAATATGCTATTCTCTTGTTAAACACATGTTAATATGGTATTCTCTTGTAAAATTCACGTTAATCTTCTTCAGATGGTGACAGACCAGGATTATGAAAGGAACACTGCATTACATCTTGCTGTTGTCAACCAAAATTATGAAGTTGTCAAAATTTGTCTCAAAAAAGGTAGGGGAATATTATTATTTTTATTTGACATCAGGTCAGTATTTTGATTTAGTCCCATGATTATGGAAGCCGCATTGGTATAATAAAATGTGAAATATTTGATGAATGCTGCATGAAAGCAAAATGGATGAGAATTTCAGCATGAGAATTTCATGTTAGACAATGTGGCAAGGCACTTCAATTTTACACTTGACTCTAGATATTTACATCCGCCTGGGGCTACTGTCGAGTGGATATGACCCACACTGCATTGAATTACCTATTGAATACACACTACCCTCCTCAAAAATGTTATACATTGAAATATCTATTGAATACACTCTGCCCTTCTTAAAAACGTTATACATTGAATTACCTATTGAATACACTCTGCTCTCCTTAAAAACATTATACATTGAATTACCTATTGAATACACTCTGCCCTCCTTAAAAACGTAATACATTGAATTACCTATTGAATACACTCTGCCCTCCTTAAAAACGTTATACATTGAATTACCTATTTGATACACTCTGCCCTCCTAAAAATGTTATACATTGAATTATCTATTAAATACACTCTGCCCTCCTTAAAAACGTTATACATTGAATTACCTATTGAATACACACTACCCTCCTCACAAATGTTATACATTGAATAACCTATTCAATACACTCCGCCCTCTTTAAAAACATTACACATTGAATTACTGATTAGATACACTCTGCCCTCCTTACAAACATTATACATCCATGTTATAGGGTCTGATGTTAATACTCACAGACTACACTACAACACACCATTACATCTGGCAGCTACAGCTGGTGATGTACGCATCATTGAACTTCTCATTGAATACAAAGCAAGAGTAGATTGCTTGAATGAGATGCAAGAGACACCCCTTCATAGAGCTGCTGCATATGACCATGCAGATGCCGTGGAATTTCTCATCAAAAAGTAAGCCTTTTGTCACACTTTTTTAAGTCCTATTATGTCATCACCACAGGTGATGACATATTGATATAGTTTTCTTTGGATGGAGTACAGTGTTCAGGTGACAGGGAACGGGGTGCTTCATCTGTAACAAATGAGAGGTGGTGACATTTTGCGTTTAGCGCCGTGTTTTGTCATTGTCTTGTCCTGCCTAGGGCAGGAATGGGATGGTGTCACATTAATTTTGTCATCAAATTCCAGATAGTTGAACTACCACTGGTAACTGAAAATCATGTTTATATCTACGGCCTTAAAATCAATTAAAAATGTGCATGAAATTTAGACATTGTAATTCAATGAAAGCATTTTGTTATTCAGAGGGGCAAGACTCGAGAAACATGACAAAGACAACTTTACGCCACTGCTAATAGCCGCATGTAAGGGTCATGCCAGCACCATACAGAAACTGTTAGATTGTGGAGCTGATATTTCTGCTATGGATAAAAATGAGAAGACAGCAATTTATTGGGCTGCAGAGGAAGATAAAGTTGAAGCCTTACAAGTGAGTTGAACTTGGAAAAACAATTTACCTTTTTGTAAATAGTGTATACGCAAATGATTAAAGGAAAGATGAAACTGTATAATGACATTGAAAAATGTCAGCCCCTCATTTTAAAAAGTTGACGATTTGATTCTAATTGAGCTTTTTTTTAAATTTCCATTTAATTAATTAATAAGTATCTTAGAAGTTGTTTTGCATTAAGTGACTTCTTATTGAGTAAATCCACATGAATAAAACATGCAAACAAGCATCAAGTAATCAAGCATGTATCTATTTATTTGTAGGTGCTGTTGAACAATCCATATTCCCGAGACATGCTGGACATCAGTGACCGTTATGATTCTGTGCCGTTACATGTGGCTTGTCAAAATGGCTACTTGGGAATAGTCAAGGTATGGAAATGTTATTACTCACTTCAGGTGGGTAGATCTCCCAAAGTTCAGCCTTCATATTCGATCACGTGGTACCCATGTGCTAGATCCATATTAGGCTTACATGACCAAATAGGAATCCAACTGACCGTTGTCCGCCATTTTGAATATCATGTGATAGATCCATATAAGGCTTGTATGACCATATAGGATGGCTAAGGGGAATCCCGGAATATGAAAGAATACTTAGTTTTATGGGAGCTACACACTTCTTCTGTACTCACTTATAGAAATTCCATTCTGCATCCATTCCAATCAGGTAGTAAAAGATGCCCTTTACATGGCTGTTAAGTTGTCCACAACTCTAGTGATGGGTGTTGTGTGTAATATTTTATGAGTGTCGATAAAATAGCGCAAGGTTCCTTCACATCCTCCGAAGCAGGGATACAGAATCTTAGAAGGTATTCCTGATCTTGAGACCCTGCTAATGGAGAATGCTCCTTAATGTGTTGGAGAATGTTCCTTCAAGGAGGGGTTCATGGGAATGTACAGCACCTTCATTTGTGACATGCAAAGTACAATAGAATAATGGATGCTAAAACAGTATAACTCTATAAAAGAGCATCTCCTAATGATTCCCCTAGTTTGTAACGTCAATACCAGATGTGGTGACATATTGTTATAGTCTCCAGCTTTACTTGTGGATGGTGTTCAGCAGTTAGTGTTTAGTAGTTGGTGTTTGATGGTATTGTACTCATACAAAGATGAGCATTGCTCATTTTATCACATGTATTTTAGATGCTGCTAGACCATGGTGCTGACATGGAGTACAAGAATGAAGAAGAACAAACACCCCTCCATCTGGCTGCAAAGAATGGCAAAACACAGTATGTACATAACTGCTTCTAACATATACATGTAATTGCCTCAAATGGGGATTTCAGTTGAAAATATGGCTAAGAACAGATATTGTAAACACATACTGTACAGACATTTTTTGCCAATTAATTTTTGAGTGAAAGATACAAATTACTATTCATTAATATCAATATCTCACATTATTTTGGAAAGAGCTTTTGTATTATTTTACTAATTATAATTAGATGATACCCTTTGTACACTTAGTATATTTTTTTCGTAAGACTTGTATATTTTCAATTCATTTCAATGTATAGATATCCATATATTTACTTAATAATTGTACTGTGTATATAAGACTCATCTATTGTTAGAATTTTAGCAGCCTTATGATGCCACACATGTTAAACAATAGGATTGCTGTACACATAGTTGAAAACATTGAAAATTAGGAACAGTGGCTGAAACATTTAACATATGGACTGATCTCATTTCTTTTAGATCCATTTACTTGCTGCAGTCCAAAGCTGGATGGAGTCATTGTGTTTTGCAAAATAGTTTGTCAATCTCTTCTCATTTCATTGTTAATTTTTAAAATGCTTTAATTACAACAGGGGTGATTAAAGGAGTGATGCATTACTCATAAACGCAGATGTATTTCTCTATGTTTTTTTATTTATATATAGGTGAATGCTTGTTTCACTTGAAATTGTGCTTTTTTAATAGAAAGGCTTTTTTACTATTTTCATCTTGTTTAATCTTGAATCTGAAAGAACGATTACACTCTTCCTGTAAGATAGTTTTTATATCGTTTCAATTTGTTCCCAATATGTTATTTATTGAACTATAATACAATGTACACATGTGTACGTATAATTAGCCCAGAAATATTGTATATGTGCTATCTTTCCTACATTCATAATAAACTTTCATTTATATTTAGTTGTGTGAAGGAACTACTACAAAGAAATAAATTGCTCATTCAAGACGAGGATGAGGAATCCAACACTGCGTTACATTTAGCTTCATTCCATGGTTTCCCGAAAACTTGCGATCTGTTAATTCAAGCTGGAGGCGATGTAGAGTCTAGGTATTGTTGAGCAATAAACTGGCAAAATCAGCAGTGAATTAAGCACACGATAATTAACACCTTTCCTATATGATAAAATCCTGTAAAAGAAATCCTGTAACATATTTCAAGGATTGTAACTTCGATACGATATTGAGATTTTTTTCAAAAAGCAAAATTAATTGCTTGTTTTGAGTTCAATGTTAGAGGATTTTATGATCTTTAGGTATAACCTGACCTCAATATCTGCTGAACTGTTATTCAGATTGGTCACATCTTTATACTGACTGGTTAATACCATTTCTGTATTAACAGACTGAAGATTGGTCACGATAACGCTTTCAGGGGTCAGTTTAGAATCTTCTGTGTCAACACAGGCACTATTCAGGAAAATGAAATTCAGTTTTGATATCATTTCAATAAATATTTATCACACAAATTTTTATTGTAATTACTGTACAATGCATGCAGTATGTGAACTTTTCAACTTTATACTCATGGTCTCCAAACATCTTATTTTGTGCAAAAAAACACTTAGATTGTGAGCTGACCCATGGTTAGATTAGTAGAGGGAAATGAGAATTCAGATCATCTCTTCATCTTGAGCAGGTTCTGGTGTATATTGCATGATTTATACAGGGTATCCAGAAGAATCTTTACTTCTTGGATACCCTGTATCTAGTGTCTATAGACCCTGTGCCCATGATATAGTTAAGACCCATATTTAAATGACTAGTTAAGTTTCGTTAAGCATCCTACACACGAAAAATTCACCGTTGTGATTCAGAAATTTACATTATCCCAGCTTTGTGGGAACATTGATGATTTTGCATGGGACACAAGGGTCTACTTGACAAAACTACATCTTTTCTTTCCCCTTTGCATGGTTTAAACTTTCACAATCTTTTTACAGCTGATGCATGTTATATTTGTACATGTATTTTAGCATGTAGCAATTTACATGCTGAGCAAATAATGTATGGCTTTGGCTCATTTTCTCTTAGGTTTTTGATTGGCTGATTCTTCCAGTCATTTTTCAAATCATGTGACCTGATGTAACCAATCAGGGCTGAGGATTCAATTTAGGTGCTGAAAACTACCTCCTTTGAATGTTTAACTTGTGTTTTAAATGGTGAGTGCTGTTATAATTAACAGTGTCGTCTATGAGCTGATTAAGAGAAACAAAACACTCGTAAATGACGAAGATGAAGAATCCAACTCTGCGCTACATTTAGCTGCGTTAGCTGGCCATACGAAAACCTGTACTGCTCTATTGGAGAATGGCGTAGATATTGAACCAAGGTGACATGGGGTGACCTCAATGCTTACCGTGTGTGGCTATGTAAATTATACCTTTACCCAGGAGATTTCAGAATAATATGAAAATTCAACATTTTGGCTGATTTCATGAATCTCCTGGGCATATTTGGTTATTGAAAGATTTACCTGGATAACTGAGTCTAGGATAGATGTTTTGTACTCAATACAGTATGCATACAGTAACAGGGTGGCTAAAATAATTTCTTTTTGTTTGCTCTATGTTCTCTCATATTTTAGTTATTTGTATTGTTGCTTTTCGTGATTATTTTGGGCCACTCTGTATATTTATGTTTTTTACTCAATTGAGGTAAATGCATCTTTGATTTCCAATGGAAAATTTTTTCCATTTCATTTCTTATCTCCCTATTTATTATTTTTCACTAACTTAAGCTAAATGTACATCAATGGCTGACTAACAGATTCTAAAAATGCTTTCACAACAGTCTTTTAAAGTCTAGTGATGTCATGCATGTTTTTGATATTGTTCTGATATTTTATTTGAGTGTGTTTTGAAACTAACCCGAGCAACTTTTATATCTACATATTTTCTATGTTTATTGGGTACTTTCTGTTACTATGACTACTAATTAAAATAGACTACAGTTTATCCAATGGTAGTTCATCGTCGTGGTGATCATGTTTTAAAATAATTTACAATGAATAAAGTGAATAGACCTGAAATGTTGAAATTGGGCAACCATTTCAAGTATTTGTGGGAAATTACAAGGGGTAAGAATGACCTAATATTTTCAACTCTATATCATTTGTATTTTAAAACATGAAAACCAAGATTTTGTATCCACTGTCAGTTATCTGATATACTGTATTTTTCTCTAATTTGGCGAGCATTTTAATTTGATGAAATTGGCGAATTTAAAAAATCACCAAATTAATGAATAAAGTGAATAGACCTGAAATGTTGAAATTGGGCAACCATTTCAAGTATTTGTGGGAAATTACAAGGGGTAAGAATGACCTAATATTTTCAACTCTATATCATTTGTATTTTAAAACATGAAAACCAAGATTTTGTATCCACTGTCAGTTATCTGATATACTGTATTTTTCTCTAATTTGGCGAGCATTTTAATTTGATGAAATTGGCGAATTTAAAAAATCACCAAATTAAAAACTTGCCAAAATCCCGGTAAATTTAACATGTTTTTCATTCGGTTCACTTCTGCTTATAAGAAACATACCAACATTGCCAGAGCCATTTAAATTTGGAAATATTCAAAGATATAAATCACCAAATTAAATAGCGCCAAATTAAAGACGAATCCAGTAACCATCTCTGCACATTTCTTTGATGCATGCACGTTTACATTATTTAACATTTATTAAATGCTTTATTTTCTATATATTTTGAATAATTATGTGTTATTATGAAGAACCTTAGTCAAAATCAAGTATTTTTTATTTATCTCTTGTAGTGATTTAAACCCCAATGCTACGCTTATTATCCTTCATCTAGCATAAGATATTTTTGTATTTGCTTATATTTATTTAGTCTGCCATTTGTTAATCTTTTATGGTTCACTAGTATGTTCCTCCCAGTGGTTTTTATTCATTTCTTCTTTTTGTAAGATGGAGATTTTTGAATGGTTAAATCTGAAAAGTTACTAATTATAGTTTCTGGCAGCAAAATAAAATACAGGGTAGGCCAAAAAAATGTTACCCATTCTGATTGTTATGTCATATAAAGGCAATATTTTTTATACCTACCCTGTTAAAAAAAGTATAATCAAATATTTCCACAACCATCAAAGGAATTGTTTAGATAAAGTTCAACTTGTTTAAACAGACTATATACAAGCATCTATTAAGACCGACTCAAGACGTTATGTTAAAGTTTCAGTTGCTTTGTTGTAGGAACTGCATCCAATGGACTCCTCTTGATTGTGCAGCTGCAAAGGGCTGGCCTAAAACTGTCAAAGTTCTGCTAGAGGCTGACTGCCCAGTAGATCCTATGGATAAATCTAAGGTAAGCTAACATGCAGAAGTACAGAGTGTCCTTAAAGTTTCCCTGTATATCTGTTTTTGCTCTCATTATCAAAATATCAAAACCATATTATCCTTTGATCAAATCATATTGCGTGTCAGATTAAAACCAATATGCGATCCCAACCAGAATCTGTTTCTACCAAGTTATTGTAATATAATACCATAGAATACAGAACAATATTTTTCCAATTCAATACAATTTTTATTTATTCCTCTGTTAGTTTTGAAAGTATTTTAGGAATATGTTGCTACTACTGCAGTTTTGAGTTTCGTACTTTTGAATTCTTACTTCTCATTTATTACCTTTTACATAATTGCTGGAATTACACCACAAAATCCACTAAAACGTTTTAGTGGAAGGCGCTTTACAAAATCGCCATTCTGATTACACCAACATTTCTAAAGCGTCTTAGGAATTATATTTTGGAATTACACCTGTTTTTTCTAAAATGCCTTTCGTGCACTTTTAACGATTTAGTTATGAAATGTCCAACATACATGTATGTGTACATCTCCTGCAAATGTATACTTTTTGCATCGAAGACAAAACTGATCTTCCATAATTTGATTGAAAATGCGTGACATTGCATAATTTTTATTTATCTTTTATTAATTATGAAAAAACATAATAAAAAGGTAAAAGAAAAATATGTACATATTCTCAGAAGACAACACTTGATTTCGATGTGACCAGATGTCTCATCATGTATCAAATGTTTCAAATGTATCAAATATTTCATTTAGGGCAAATGTTAAAAACTAATAAAAACCCGGGTAAGGCGTCTTACAAAAACCGATCGGTATTACACTGCACACTTAAAACGCCTAACGACTTATGCCGTTTACTAGTGACAAGGGTTCTTGGAGTTTTAGAAAAGCGCTTTTGTAAAACCGCAATCGTGATTACACCTAATTCTTAAACTTGGTTAAAACCGAAGAAGCTTTTGTGAAACGCCATGTGTAATTCCAGCAAATGACATATGTTTGTTGCCTTACTTCAGACTACACCTCTCCATCTTGCAAGCTCTAGAGGTCACGTTGAGGTTGTTAACATACTGATGAAGTGGAATGCAAGTATGACACAACGTGACACCAACGGAATGAATTGTCTTGATCTAGCAATTGACAATGGACACAAGTAAGAACGTTTTTCTAATCATGTTGTTTAATAAAAAGTTTGAGTAATCTCCTCAGCATGTAAGCAAGATTACAAAATTGCACTATTTTTGAAAGCCCATTTGCCAACTTTGGATAGTGGGAATTTTCCGCAGCTTGAAATATTTCATGGCAAGAACATTTATTTTGTACCTTTTAGTAGGTTGTTTTATTTACTTGCTCAATTTTGAATACATGTACATGAGGCTTCAGCTGCTTTCGAATTGCTAAGAATTAAATTGAAAGAATTTAATATTTCTTAGATGATTAAGTCTCTATTTATATCAGCCCTTTCACTATAATTAGACACAGCAGGCAGAAACAGGCAAGAATTAAATTACAGTTTAAATTTAAAACTGCATATTTGTGAATATAAAGAGGCAGATTTTGCTCCAATTGTGGTTACATTTGCCACCTTTTAAAGGCTGTATACCTCATTGTGTTTTCCAGAGACGTAGCATTTGCTATCATCAACAGTGATAAATGGGAGGAAGCTTTGCGCAATGAAACATTGGACCTTGCTACAGGCCTAAGGAGCACTCCAATGAGAAAACTCATTAAGAAAATGCCAGGTAAATTTCCATAGAGAAAATGGACATGGTCATTTTAAAGCCCCTAAAACATTCTACATTATGTGGGATTTCAACCCAGCCATTAAACTATCCTCTTTTTAGCTCATTTTATTTTGAAACCCCTGACATTGAACATGTATTTGCAGATGTAGCAGAAAGAGCCTTCTACAGATGTACATCTGCAAATATGGGCAATTCTGATCACCCAGACTATGAAATCACATTCAATTATGAGTTCTTGGATGACATGTATGCCATCTGGAGAGAAAATTCGGGTACAAGTGACGCAATGTCAAGCTCTGGAAGTGACATCTATAATGAGGATTTCACTCTGAAAGAGTCTGCTAAGCCGTACACATCTGATTCAACAATACTCAAGAAAAACCATCCACTCAGCATTATGGTTAGTTTAATTGTTCCTTTATATATTTAGTTTCTGTATAAATTGAAAGTAGATACCCTAATCAATGCAAAAAGGTAGTTATATGGCAGTGAAATAACTACAGAAATTATTCTATGATGATCGTCATTTTTTCAAAAATCTGTATCTACTCTACATCACTGTTTCACTGAATAAAAGCATTATTCAATAGTATTCTTGTGTATTCTGCCCTTAAAAGATGTGCATCTCTCTGTGCCTCATAAAGTATTTCTTTCTTTGGCACAACTCTTTCTGTGTTCCACAAGAATTCTTGAATATAAATTAAGTATCTTCAATAGGCCTATACAATATTAATTTTTTTTTTATTTGTATTTCAGGTAAATGCACGTCGAGAAGATCTATTGGCTCATCCTCTTGTGACATCACTCCTACGTCATAAATGGAACTCATTTGGACGATACTTTTACTACATCAATCTCTTTATCTACTTTATCTTCCTTGGGTTTCTTACGGCATATGTGATCGCCCAACGACCTCCATTTCGACTATTAGATGATTACAAATTATCAAAGTGAGTTCAGCTCATATTATATGTCGTACTTTATATATGGCATTTACTGTAATGCGTGCATTAGATGAAAAATTGTGAAATAGAACAAAGTGTTTAGTAAGATTTGACCATTTGTCCTTTTATTTTGCAGATTTTGAAAATGTCACCTGATTTTAAAATCTGTTGATATGGAAACTCTAGAATTTAGTTAAAATGAGTATCTGGCGAAGTAATTTGGAAATTAAGAAATATTAGTTTACTTAAATGTAATTCTTTATGCCGATTTTTACTTTAAGGTGTGGAGATGTCAACTGTAATAATGAGACATTCTCGTGTTTCCGAATTGAAAATTACTGGTGTGGGAAAAATGAGTGCTTGGCCCCAAATTTTGTTGCAGTTACAATAGGGAAATGGATCATTATTGGTCTATCTGCACTTAACTTATTCAGAGAGGTAAACTGTGATATTAGTACTTGATATCTTGATCATTATCATTATTGGTCTATCTGCACTTAACTTATTCAGAGAGGTAAACTGTGATATTAATACTTGATATCTTGATCATTATCATTATTGGTCTATCTGCACTTAACTTATTCAGAGAGGTAAACTGTGATATTAATACTTGATATCTTGATCATTATCATTATTGGTCTATCTGCACTTAACTTATTCAGAGAGGTAAACTGTGATATTAATACTTGTTGTGAATCTCTTGATATGTATATACGAAGGTTGATCATAAAGATCTCATAATATCTCTCTAATTTCTTCATTTTTCAATATTGTTAATATGTTATACTAAATATTTATTGCTGGATTAATAAGACATTCTATGTTGCATATTCTGTAAAAATTAGAATTTATTGAAAAATAAAGATGAAAGATATTAGAGACTTTTATGATCACCCCTCGTATATATAGTGAAATCTGGATAAAGTAGGGTATGTCATGAGGATTATAAGAATACAGTGCTGCATTGAATTACAGACCAGTTGTCTATAGTGGAAGCTCACTGCATTGTCCTACGGGTCAGTGAATATTCCCCACCCCTATCTAAAAGTGAATACATATTGAGACCTCTACCTATTTTAAATACCAGTCAGCTTACAAATTATATGTAATAACTTGTTAATTTATAGCAAAAGTCTTTTCTCTTTATAGATCCAGCAGATATTCACCCAGAAATTGAACTACTTGAGCTGGGAGAATCTTCTTGAGTGGATTATGTATATATTTGCAATACTCTTTGTGGTTGACTTCCAAGGCTGCCAGAGGGAATCAGGGATACGATTGGTAAGGAATAAAGTCTAAATATCTGCAGTGGTGAAATAATGAGCTTAATTTCTTTAGGGGCAAGGGGTAAACAACATTTTCTTCTAAGGATATTGATTTTTTGAAAAATTCAAATTTTATTATACTGTATTGGAAAGGGGAATAAACCATCATAGAATTATCATTGCTTCTCACCATCAATAAGTGTTTATCTGTTATGTAAAATCTATTTGTGACCTTTTATATGAAAGAATACAATTAATAAAAACTTTTAATCATCCACCAATTGAACAAATTGATTATGTGGAGAATTAAGTCAAGGAGGATTGGCTCCAAGGGTTCTAACTTCATATTCGACCTTGACCTTGATCGATGACAACATTGGAAATGTCTTTATTTTCTGATATTATAACTGACTAAAAATTCATAATCAGCAATCCAAAAGATTTGAACTAATATCTTGATCCCATCTTGTGTGTTTTTGAATTTTTGTGTTTCAAAATAAGACCAAAACTCATGATACAAATTTTGAAGTGAAAAAACGGCGGACATTTTTATTTTGTAATCATGACATGACATGTGACAATAAGGTCAAGGTCATAACACCAGAATATGGAAGTTGCATTCTGGGAGCCAATCCTCTTGGAATTAAGTCCTATCCACAAGATGGAAAAAAGACTAACAGAAACAGTTTTCCTTTTAAGGAGTGGCAATGGCAGATAGGTGCTTTCTGTATCTTCCTGGCATGGATGGAGCTTGTCCTGTTTATACGAAAAGTACCTCGTTTTGGAATCTACGTCGTCATGTTTACGGATGTCTTACAGACGTTTATTCGTTTCTTCTTGGTATTTCTCCTGTTCATGATCGCGTTCGCCTTGTCATACTTCATGCTGTTCCAGAATCAGGTTTGTGGACATATTTTCGTTGGAATCATACAAGGCAGCACTTAAAATCCATGGGATATGAAGCATATCCAATTAAAAACAAGATCAATAACATGTGTATATGTTTGATAATATAGTATATACAGTATATCAGTTATCAAAAACAGACATGGAAAAACAAGACTGAGTTTACTCGTCATAACATTTTGTGTTTGAAAAATTGAATCCATTTTTAAATTCTAAAAGGGATAACTTAGGAGATATCATATGTATGTTTCTGATAAAAGCACATAGATGAACATTGACATTGGTTTTTTCAAGTCATATATGTGAAACTTGAACTCATATTCATTTTTTGCACAATTTTAGGTAGCGTTTGACAACATTGGAAAGAGTCTTGTAAAAACAGCGGTTATGATGATCGGTGAATTTGAGTTTGACTCGATCTTCTATGGTGACGAAAAACTGAATTACCCGGAAATCAGCTACCTATTATTCGTCTTATTCTTAGTTCTTATGTCAATCATCATCATGAACTTACTGGTAAGTGAACTCTACATATTTTAGGGATGGTCTCCAATTATCATCCTGCCATCCCTTACATTTACTTCCACATTTTTGTCACATTTTTATCAAACAACTTGAATTCAGTAAGTGGATTGAAATGAATGATTATGGGGTTCGATTTCTACCAAGTTGTGAATTTTTCACATCAGACCTTAAGCATGGGATTTAATCCAATGTTCAAATTAACTACATTTAGTTGAATTGACTATAATGACTGAACATAACTCTCAAAACAAAAACATTTTCACATATCCTTACTGAATATATTCCAGCCCCATTTTACATCTTTCATTCTAATTTTTATCTTTTTAGAACAACTTAATGCATTGCATGTTGTATGAATGTGACTTTATCTATGGCACAATAGACATACTTAATAGAAAATGAAATAACATAAAATTTGGTATACTGTAAATTGGTTTGGCATATAAAAATGTATGCATCCATAGATGTTAATTTGATTTTAACTTGTGGTACATTATAGGTTGGTTTGGCTGTAGATGACATCAAGGCTGTCCAAGACCAAGCTGTTCTAAAGAGATTGGCCATGCAGGTGAGGTTTGAATTATTTTACCAATGAACAAAGTTTTGTAGGGATATAGTGAAGCCTGCCGTCAGTCAGTCTATTCATCTGTCTGTCAATTTGGAGCATAATTCAAATGTTTGAATACATGATTTATCAATTTTACTGATCATTATATCGCGGGCTAGTATGAGAAAGTTAAAACATGAACATCAACAACAAGTTCATAAGCTAAAAACAGTGCTAGGTAATAAAAAGCTAAAACAATAGGTTAACCTCTTGACTACCTGGAGTAACGAGATTTCTCGTCACCTCAGAAATGACCTTGAAACCCAGAGTGACGAGAAAATCCGTCACAAAATTTTTCACTAAAATTGCTCTTATTTGAACAATTTTCATCCAATTTTCCAAAAATTGTTTTAAAATGTGTAGAAATGATCTCTGCCGTCTAATTTTACTAAGTTGAGCATCTGAAGTTGTATGGGTATGTAGTATAATGTCAAAAGGTGGCAAAAATGAAAAAAATCTCTGGTTTCAACCGATTTTAGAGCCTGGGATTCAAGAGGTTAAAATACAGCATAAGGCATGGGTGTAAGGTAGTGAGCCCTTAGTGTAGTCTTGGACTGGTTCATATCCAACTACTGTCCTGAGGTGACTTATAAAATTACCTTGTCACTTTTCTTGATTGAATTTGGAAGGACCTTAGTACACTTCCCATTAGTGTCAACAGTGATTTGTTACTGTAATAATCCTTTAATTGATATTCCCATTATGTGTATCTATTTTCATGAGGGTCATATGTTATTTATGACTTATTTTGATGTATGGTTTGATCCTTTCAATGGCTTTTAAAGGACATTGTGCTATTGAGGGCTTGGTGATAATGCTGTTGATTGAAAAAGTGCTCTTGTCAACTTGGGAAATAAAACCATTAAACATACTTTTTTGAACAACACGTTATTGCTTTAGTTCTAGAGGATTGTCCGATTTTAAGGAAGTTATCAAGAGAACATAAATATTTAATAATTATCTTTTGGAACACCTACTCTTTCTAATTAAAGTAATTGAGCTGTGGTAAACCAACAAGGAAAGTAATTAATTAATAGGTTAATTGAGAAAGATTAATGGTTGTTTTTTATTTTTAATAAATACTATAATAGATAATTTATTATGATGAAACCTGGATGGAATGATCAGATCAAAACAAAAGTGTCAATTCAACCAAGGATTCAAAAGTTGGATCCTCATCCTGAGCTTAAGATTTCAGGATATTTTGCAGTATTTTGTGTTTCTTAGCCAAAAGCTGATATACCATAAGTTCTCACATTTGGTATTATCCATCACTGGAATATTATTTTCCATGTTATTCAAGATACATTTTTCATGGTCGTGACATTTCTTCATCTTTTTTTGTTGACAGAGTTCAGCGTTTGTTCAGTATGTGGCTTCAGTATTTTATGAATTGTCCTAATTTTTTAATTTTACACAGATGGATTCAGACAAGGCATGATGAAAAAGTTACAAAAACTCCTTATCAATCAGATATACTCATGAAAAACTTCTACATGTATTTTTAGGTTGAACTAGCCTTAGATGTAGAAGGTTTTCTCCCACATTTTATTCGGCGTAGATTTGTACTTCACAAAGAGACTCTGCAACCAGGAAAGCCACCAAGCTGCATAAAGCGAGTCTTCAAACTTGGAGATGCAGCTTTATCCGCGGTATCTATCGCAAATGCTTTAAACCCTGAGTTGGTAAGTCAGTACACTTTAGGGGTAGGTTCAGATTTGACAATCTGTCAGCAAAAGTAATTTCATTTTGTTGGAGCGTTAAATTAAAGTGGAATTTTATCCCCACTAGTGATACACCCCTTCCTCCCCAAAAACACAGAAGACGATTGACTTCTGTTTCTAGGATACTTTAAATTGGTTTGAATTCAGAACTGTTTTGGTTGTTATTTTCCCACAAATTATTAAACAAGATACATGTTATATGATTGATTTCGCTCCCCAGGATGAAATAGAGAAGGTCCAAGAGGCACAAGAACAGCTGCAAGAACAGGTGAAAAACATACGCTATCGCCTCAAGAACATCCGCAGCCAGAATGACCGTGTTGAGAGTATGCTGGAAACTCTTCTGAAGGTACAGAATGTCAGGTGGGAGGAGCAAGACACCAATGATGATGTAGACAACAACTGATCTGAGTGCATCATGAAATGAAATAAGCCCATCTAGCTCTGCCTAGAAAAGGGGGAAAAATCGCATTTAAGTGTTATATAAATAAGGTAAAATAACACCAGGGAAAGGAAATATTGCTAGCACTTATTTTAGAAAAGAGTGAAAGAAGCATACATGTACAGTGTAACAAAATAAGAACAGTTAAATATAAAAACAAAAAATATATAAATAGATAAATTATAGCAATTTGGAAGGCCAGGGTAAATAAATGAAATGTTCAACATAATTATTTCATCTTTTAACTATACATGTCCATGCAGCAAGTACAGAAAATTTTAGTTCTTGCGTGTTTTGTAAAAAATATGTCTTGTTGTACATAATACTTAATTAGCTGAAATTCTCGGATAAAGGAAAATTTCAGATCAAAAAGTCATAATGCTGATTGTAGAATTCATTTATTACCCTCGTCTCCAAAGTAGCAAACTCAGGTCACAACTGCAATGAGAAACATATCAAGCAAGACCAGAACAGTGTCATTACAATACAATGCAATACAATGGGGATCCAGTTTAATGTGATATACAGTCTAGCATACAGCCACATCACATACGAGGGGTGATCAATAAGTAATGGACGCTTTTTTACACAGATACTTTTTATAGACCAATCCCTTCGATTTTCTTACCAGTGATACATCATTCAATTATCTATCAACTCTGAAGATTTGAAGACAATATATATATTACATGTTGATATATCTTTATTTCCGTGAAGGAGGTACAGGTACCCCGGGACCGACATTTACCTGTGTCAAAAAGCGTCCATTACTTATTGATCACCCCTCGTATAATTCAACATGTGTTGACCCTTCATCATTTACATGGACCCATTACTGGTGAGGTTTTCTGAGGCTGTGCTGTGGTCTTGACTGTAGCATACAGAAAAATAAATTGTCCTCTTTTGTGCTGATTTTAGATTCTAACTTTTAATTACTGCACATAAAGTATGTATGGATCAATTGCAAATCTTATTGTTTTAAAATGTAGAATTACAATTTTATCATGTTTTTTGTATTTTCCCACCTTGTGAAAAAGGACCATGTACCACCTTATATGCATCTAGCATTCTAGGTGTTTATATGTAAATAGTACCCGTGTACATAATCATTATTATACAGATGATTTATTGACATTAGTATACATAATACATATAAAGTATTTTAATGACATAATTCTCAAATTATAAATACTCTGCTTTATCTATGAGACACCTGGGTGTATGTTGACCTTTCCCCCGATAATTTGGGAAAATTGAAAAAAGGTTAGTGAGAACATGAGGATGTTCACATTATTTGTTAAAATCTTGAATATATATTGTCTCTATTAAAACCTTTGTAATATTACAATGAGATTTACTTATGTATAATATGAATATGAAACAAATAATACAAACTTACATAAATGGATTAGATATATTTTTTATATATACATGATCATAATTAATCATAATGATGAATAAATGATGAGGTAATCAGGGTTGGATTCTTAAGGTGGGTCAACTAGAATGAAATCTGGGGTCCATTGTTTGATATGGTACAATTTTTCCAACGTTCATTTTAACACTACCCCAAGTCTTTAGTTGATATGATATGTTATAAGGTTAAAAAGAATCCATGGGAACTAATTACTTAAAGAACGTTCACATATTCTGAAGATATAGTATATTTAGCATATATAGATGTGAAAAACACAACCTTATCCCAAATTCCACCTACTTTGCCCACCTTAAGCTTGTCCATGAATAAATGATGATATTGTTACAGTATAGTGTATACATGTATATTGCTTATATTAGTTCAGGTTTTCTTACTTTTTTATAAATTCCACAATTATTCCAGAATCCAGATTAAGGCAAGCTAAATAAAATATTCTTTGTGTTTTAAGAACTCAATTTAGTTCAATTTATAGTTATTTTTGAATTAAATATGTTTCATGTTATGTTATGTTATTGTAATTTACATGAACATGTTATTTGTGTATGATATTACAGGGTGTTCCAGGTTAGTCCCAAATATTTTTCAAAAGTGCCTAATTGTGTATTATATATACTGAAACACCCTGTATTAGCTTTTCTCATTATTGATATTTTCTATGTATAGTCATATAGTAGAGCTTCAGAGAATACATAGTACCTCTTTATAATGTTATAACAGCTTGGTCTTAGATGGCCTTATTACCATTTTGATGTTGAACTTTAAGTAGTACATCCTATAATATATAAAATGTAAAAGGAAAATGTATCATTTATGGTTTTGATTAGTGTATCAGTAGTATTTTTCATTCATTGGCCCCTCACAAATAAATTGTTTGGTGGTTCCTGTTTTAAGAATTTTTTTATTAAAGAATTTAAGTGCTTGCTCTCTTTTCTTCCATTTTGACATGTTTTGTGTTTTTTTTACGAGTAAAAAAGCCTGATGACTAGTCGTTCTTTTCATAAAATACTTCCTATTCAACAAAGGGGTACTTAAGACAGTGCCAATTTAAGGAATAAATAATGATAGGCCATTCAATATGGTGTAATTCAGCAAGAGTTGAACAGAATGTCATACAAAGCACGAACCGAAGGTGAATGCATTTGTACAGACATTCTGTCCAACGAGTGTAGAATTTCACCATATTGAATGGCATATCATTATTTATTCCGATTCAAACATAGAAAATAAAAAGACTGATCAGAGAATTGGCAATTAAGGTCAATGAAATAACCAAACTTGATGCTTTTTTCGCCATTCCAAGGTGTGGCATCATAATACAACACAATACATGTACATCGCTTCCTGGAAGCAGATCGAATAGAGCATCGTCGTTCATGTATGGAGAAATATAGAACGTTCATTATAGGCTATGCTGCATTCTGATTGGTTGAGATATTCAATCAGAGCATGGTGTATCATGTGTTACAACATTTGAAAGCTCTGATTTACACTGTGTACATTGTACAACTAACAATACTCAGGATCTATGTGCTTATAACCTTAAATTGATATTATAGACAGAACCTTCACAATTTATTAAGTAGATATGGTTACTAAGTTTTTTGCAAATCTTCAAACAGTTATAACACTTTTCGATATGGTTGGCAATATACATAAGAGGATTCAACTTTTGTTTATTTTCATTCATAAAATACATTTAGATTTATGTCAGAAATGAATATGAAAGTCAAAGATGATGACGGGGTATGAATAAGTAAATGAAAAGGGGATTTGGAAACTGGAGTTGGGGTCACTGTACGTAGACTCTGGAGTTGCTTCTTTGTGCTTTCTCAGACTGCGAGAAACTGCCGACCATTTTCAGCATGTGAGGCCATGAGGGTAGAATTGTATTTGTGTATTTTGTAAGGCTCACAAGCCCATATTTGTAAGACTGTAGTTGCCATACAATACAAATTAGACACAACTTTGTGTCAAGTTTTATAACTATACAGTATCTGTGTCTTTAAAGAATTCATTTGTTTTGACATGAGCACATTTACAGAAAGGTCTCATTTTAAACATCCAGGATGATAGTACTGGTGGTTCCAGGGGCATAGCCAGCTTTCAGTCCCCCCCCCAGCTACACCTATGGGTTCCATGTTTTTTCATTGGAGATGTTCTGTGGCGTATCCATGATGAAGTAGAGGAGGCTCTTGTCTTGTTGCTTTTTAAGTATTTATATCAGAACGAGGACAAAGTGTTTCTTTAATGCTGATTTAATAGCTGTAGTATAATACATTTAATAGTGACTGTGATATTTAGTGTTGACTTTTGTTTTCATAGCTTCACCTTTCTGTACTGTATCTGTATGTATAATAGGGTGGTCCAAAATATGGCGAAAAACCAACTTTCTTTCGGATCATCTTCCTCATTTGACTTACTGTTGTCCATGACCTAAAACACCTGCACACCAAATTTTGAGACCCAAATCCCATGGGAAATTTACCCACGCTTCGACTGAAAAATTTGGTTATTTCATGATTTTTTGCTATTTTCGATAAATTGCCATCTCCTTTTTCCTGGTATAAAATGTTTCTATTTTTTCATAATAAACATTTTTGTAGGACTCTTTATTACTTAATAATACTAGGAGCCCAAACACCAAATTTTGAGACCCAAATCCCATGTGAAATTTACCCATGCTTTGACTGAAAAATTGTGATTTTCACAGTTTTGTCCGATTTTCAATAGATTACTGTCTCCATTTTCCTGGTATAGTATGTTTCTATTTTTTCATAATAAATATTTTTGGATGACTCTTTATTACTTTTACTTCATAATACTAGGAACCCATACACCAAATTTTGAGACCCAAATCCCATGGAAAATTTACTCATGGTTTGACTGAAATTGTGATTTTCACATTTTTTCCGATTTTCAATAAATTCTGTCTCCATTTTCCTGGTACGATATGTTTTTATAATAAACATTTTTGAGGACTCTTTATTACTTCATAATACTAAAAACCCATACACTAAATATCCAGCAAATTTTGAGACCCAAATCCAATGAGAACGTTACCCATGCTTTGACTGAAAACTGGTGCTTATGATAGCCTATGATGTCTGTTTTAGGGGCATAATATGTTAATAAACATTATGGTAATTCCTTCTTAATCCAAAGAAACACCTAAATATCAAGACTTTAAGTCTTATTGAAAGCGACAAATTCAGTAGTTTGGGGAAAATTTAGGATCTTTTACTTGTACATTTATATACTGTGGTTAATATTAAGAAGTGATGACTCGACAGCAACTCAAATGCCTTGAAGATTTGGTTTGTTGGTTTCAGTAGGGATAAATCACAGGACTTTGTTTGGATTTGTGTGAGATGTCATATTCTTTCTCACATCTTTGCAGGGTAAGGTCAAATATCAAATCTGATTTTCTTTGGAGAAATGATTTTTGATTGATCAATGTATCAATGGCATGGTCTCTGTTGTAACCAGTAAGCCTGTACCAAATCTTCAAGGGATTCGAGCTTCCACTGAGCTTTGTCATTTCTCTGAAAATGTTCATGCCCTGAAAGTACACAATGTAGAAGGTAGGAAGAGCAATGAGAAACACTTAAGGTAATTCTGTATGTTCAGAAATTTTAAGTGGAGTCCAATGTTATTTCTGGAATTATTCCATACTTGGTCAGCTCTTTCAATTTTACACTGAGTTCAAATATTTATTTAGATTATTAGTTGATGGTTAGTAATTTTCTATAATGTACTATGTGCTATGTTTATACACTGTTTGTGCATCTGAATGGAATGAGTTATGTGTTCCTGAAAAAACACGGGTCTCCAATTAGGAAGCCATTAAAACTGAAAATAAGGAATTACCTTAAAGTACTATATAACCATGTATGTAAGGCCAAACAGGATAATTAAGACAACGTGTAATACAATTTATTACAAATTGCACATCACACAACAATGATATGGTGCTCTTAACGACAAAAATCAAAAGTATATGATCAAAGCAAACGTGGATTTCCCATGGGGTTCAGGTCTAAACATTTGGTACATATTAAATGTATGGGTTCCTAGTATTAAGAACGTATTAATGTCCTCCTAAA